TTAATAACAATTGCCGGCCCACTTGTAAAAATAAAAAAAAAATACATTTCATCTTGGAAATATATATATAGAATCGAATAAAAAAAGTTTGGTGCATTAGAAATGCAAAAAAATTTTAGTAGGTATATTCTGTTTCTAAGCGTCTTTTAAGGGGTAAACCGCTCGCCTAATAGTGATTCCAGCCGTGTCCGGTCGAAGTCAAAATTTGCCAAACGGAGCAAAAAAGTAATTACTAAATTTGCTTAGACGATTTTTTTACTTTTTGGTATCAAAAGGAACATGAAATATTTGCAGTTTTTTCTGTCTTGCAAAAATTCGTTGCGGTTGCCGAAAATAATAAGAAAGAAATATCAGTTTGACGTCACAAACTTTATTTATAACTTAAGAAATCAAATGTATTTTAAACTATAACAAATACCATGTATCTATTGTTTTTAAATAAAATATTGATTTAAAATAGAAATATAGTGAAACGCAAAACAGTTTTTCTTAATACTGTTCCAAATTAGGATACAAAAATTAACTGTATTTAATAGTATGTTTAACTTTTTAGACAGCGTTCATACTTGATTGGTACATACATGCTAAAAAACCTTGTTTGGGTGCCGTCGCCAATAGAGGATGGCGATGATTTATGCAAATTTTATCTCTATTTTGTTTTTCTTATGTTTGGAGGTCTAGCCCTGTCCAATCCTCGATGTCACGCTTCCAGGTCATTTGTCGTCTGCCAGGACCACGCTTTCTTTCTATGGTTTCTTCCATTATTAGTTGAAGAAAGTTATATCTCTCATGTCCAGATATATGTCCAAGATAAGATGTTTTCCATTTTCTTATAAGTTCTACAGGTCATAATCTCTATTCATACGACTTAAAAATAGTTCAGTTCTAACATGGTCAACCCATGTAATTTTTAGAATGCGACCGAATATGCCCATCTCAAAGTTTTTCAGGCGTCATACAGAGGTAATTGTCAGTACAAAGGCTTCCATGCCATGTAGTAGGATACTGTTAAAACAAAAATATAGGAGTGCCTTTTATTGTAACTAATAGCAACAGAGTAATTATAAAAATGCGCAGCTAAATGAAAAAAAGAAGTTTAACGTATGAGAGTGACCACTAGAAAACCTAAAGATGGAAATGACAAAAGAATATTAAACAGGATACTAACAAACTTAAGAAAATAAAAGTAACACACAAGATGTAAAGAATTCTTACAATGATAAAAATAAATGAATTTTTTTAAAACTCTTCACCTTTTAAAATTGGTTGATACTTCTTATCCAGTTGGGCTGCTAAACTATATACAAGTAAACTTCCAAACAACGTAGTTTATTTATTAATATTTAAGTAATATACGGCAGTACCTTGACGAGCTACCCCCTGTACGATAATTATTTAATAATAATGACGTTCTTTCGACATTTTCTGTACATGACCGTACCATCTGAGTTTTTGGATACCAATATCGTCTACTATTGTATGTTTTACTTTCATAATTTCTCTAATTCTGTTGTTCGTTACTCTTTCTTGTCTAGATTTTCCAGCTGAATATCTCCACAAATCCATTTCCGTTGTCTCAAATTTTCTCTTGTATCTTTCCTTTATTTGCCATACTTTACTACTATAGGTAATTATACTTTTAATTATTGTATTATATATCTTGTGCTTGTTATTATTACTATACAATACAACACAATACAATGCAATAACTAATACCATAGAACAGAACAAAAGCCTTCTTCTTCTTCTTCTTCTTCTTCTTCTTCTTCTTCTTCTTCGGTTTTTCCCATTATGAGTTCGCCATTTTCGTCCTCCACAGCACTCTTGTCACCTTGTCTGAGGTCTCTATGAGAACAAAATCCTAAAAGTTCTAAAAAGAAAGTTAAAGCAATGCAGTGAAAGCAAGCAAAACAAGTTTTGTTCTCTATGAGAACAAAAGCCTAAAAGTTCTAAAAAGAAAGTTAAAGACAGCAAGACAACAACAACAAGAGATCCTGAAAATCACCGAAGAATCACTGATCAGAACATTATAAAGTTGAGATGCTCACATACCGGATGTAGACATCCCAATAACACAATTCATAGTATGAAGAACAACAAAACTTTTGGAGAAGATGCATAGTCATGCGGCTCCATAAAAGCTTTAAAAAACTCTTAATAATGAAGGCTTTTTTAAAGGAAAATTTCCCAAATGGTGTTATAACTGTACAACATATTGTACTCTCTTTATCCAACTGAATATGGTAAAATCCTTTCTCTAAACCTAAAACAGTAAAGACTTTCTTTTCTCTTAACTTCTAATTTCTCTACCGTAGGTAGTCAGAACAAACATACTTAATTAAATGTAGGGAATCTAAACTCAACCTTAACTTACCAAATTTTTTCTTACTCAAATTACCAAGTTATTAACTCATTCTGGCAGTTCATCCGTTTTGATTATTATATCCCTTTTTTCAAGATCATAAAAGGCTAATTTTAGTTTTGGTTTTATTGTCTCCGGGACCCTTCAATAAATACTAACTACCGGATTGGCATTATTTTTATCTTATATTTGATGGGTAGTTTACCAGTGCTTCCAAAAATATATCTCTGTTATGAGTTATAAATTTCTGCCTTGACTTTTATTGTCATTTATCTCATCTACCTTTTTTATCAAACCTAACTTGACACATGCATTAAGGATACATGCATTTAGATTTCACCTTTTAATAAGTATTTTAATATTACTTGACCTACGGTATTTAACTTATTGTGGTCATATGTATTTTTTTTTGGCTTAGGTTCAAGACCTATTTAGCCAGACAATTGGTTGAATACGTAAAAACAATCTCCTACACTTTCTTTAAATGCATGACAATTTCCTAACCGTTCGTTTCACTGAATTTCCTAAACTTCCCATTGAAAACACTATTGGGTGACTATACAAAAAGAATTAAACAGGAATTGAAATAAAAATTTTATGGCTTCTTGATTATACCAACATTGAAACATCCAGTGGTTAAGGTCGTCATACCTGCCATTACATTCACGTATATCAGTTTCGGAAAGTTTTATTTTATATAGGTAAGCGTTTACTGTAGCATGTCCAAAAAGGCATCTAACGTACATAGTATAAATTTTCCGAGAGATGGGGCTTCTGTCATTTGGGGAGTAGATGGAAGAGTTGGATATATACTGCAGTATGTATTTTTGCTACTGTTAGTAAAGGATTGTCACTAAATTTCCCAATTAAGTTTAACATGTTTCTTCCTAGCTGAAACTATATCCAATTTGGGCAACTCGTTGTACTCTATACCCACTAAAGTAGCGTCTTTAGCCAAATGGTCTACTTTTTCATTGCCTGGAATATTAGAGTGACCTTTAACCCACACAAAATTAACAATTCTTTTTAAAGAAGTTAAGATCCTTAGCTTTTCAAGCGCATCTACAATTAGTCTGTTGGTACATATGTGTTTAGAGAAGTGTCTTAATCCGAGGAGGACGGACTGTGAGTCAGATAAAATTATATATCGTTCGAAATATAATGTGCTATTAATTATTATAATCCAATGCCTTGACACAATGGCTACCAATTTAGCTGTGAATATTGAGCAATCTGATTTTAATTTGTACTAAAAATAATCTTGAATATTGTCTATGTAAATGGCACAGCCAGCACCAGCAGTCGATTTTGAGCCATCGGTATAAATTTTACAAGAATGTTTACAGTCTTTCAGCTTGTTCTGTACTACTAAATCTTGAAAATCAAAATTTACAATAAGCTGGCAAAGATGCTGGCAATATTGGCAGCACTCCAATGGCAATACTTTGCAAAATATTGCAATTTTAATTTCATCATCTTTCATACACAGTCCAGTTGCTGTTACATAGATAAAGAAACTATTCATAAACTTCTCATAATTTTGACTGGTATGCTAATCAAACATGATCCTGTTTGGTGCCTTGGCGACTTTATAGTTACGTTACGACTGGATACTTATTTGTAGGGTTCTTGTAGACCTGACACATGTATTATTATGCTTACTGTGAACATCTACATTAAGACACACACATAAGTTTTTTATGTTTTTATTTATACTTCTTGACAGCGTGTAAGTTTTTATACCGTAGTTAACCTGTTGAGTAACTGATTGACATCCCTGCATTCTCTTCTAGTGCTGCCAACCTAAGCAATATTATACATGGACCTTACATGATTAATTGAAACGTTAAAATAAACGTATTTTAAACTATAATTGTGATCATTTCATGATAACAATAGTAAATTATATTAAAATGCCACAAGAAAATTGTTTGTTGGTAGGTACATAATATAAAAAATTATGACTATCACATGAAGAGGATCATACAAAGTTCGAAATTTTTAAATCATAGATTATTATCAAAATATACTAAAAATATGTAAGTTAATAGGGTATGACAATCCAACACCATAATATGCTGGAGAATACGAGAAAAGATTACATTTTAATAAAACAAAGGTGGACGATCTGTTTTTCATACAAGGCTCAAAGGTAAAAACCAGGAATTTTGCGTTTTAAAATGGATTGGAATAAACAAAAAAAAAACAATTAAGAAAATTCCATCAGCGATATTGTGTAGTACGTATGATAGCAGATAAGAGATTTATGCAATAGTGAATAACTTTCCTTTGTTTATTTAATATAAAACAACTTGTATGTAAAGTTTAACATACACCAAGACCTAAAGAAATTGTAATTGTTTTGTTTATAACTAGGTTTTTATTTTACTCGTGTTGAAATAACTTTAACCTAGTATTTGCACAGAATTTTATCAAAAAGCTAAAAATACTCATTGTTTAAGTTATTAAATCTAAACTAATTGTTGCTTAAATATAAGTTTAAATCAATTTAACACGAGGATAAAACTGCAAATTGCATGATTTTCGTTAATGTACGATTATCTTTATACTAAAAGCCAGAAGAACATTTTAGTCGCGTGTCGTATATTTTTTTCTTTATATATTTTTATTTTTTCAGCTCTTATACCAGCACAGAATGCATTCTTAAAGAAAATTAAAAGCAATCCTGAACTACATGACGCAAAATGGGCGAATCTCTTTTTAGAAGATAGGCTAAAAGAAAATGAAATGGTATTACCACAGTATGTACTTCATTTATTTATTAATATGAGTCCTAACAACCACATAATGAAACAAATTAAAATATATAACAAATTTAGGTTTTCCACCAATTATGATAGTACAGCAATAATTTAAGTGATAAATAATGAAAAAATGTAATTAACATTTTTTTATACAATCCATATAACCTACTAATGTCATAAGAATCATCAAAATGTGTAAAAATTAGTGACAACTAAATAATGGGACACGATGAAGTAACTGCTAAAACCACATAAAATAAGACAATTAGGCTGCGAAAACAATGCAGCTGGATCCTCTAACAAACGTCAAACTATCTTCTACAATTAATTTCTTGTCGAATTAATCTTGTCTTTTGCTATTGTCATACATTTAGATTTGTTGGTAGAAATGGTCATAATTAGTTGGCAATTTATTTGAAAGAACTGAAAAAGCTGTTTCTGAAGATCATATTCTGATTCGGCAATAATTGCTGCATCATCTGCGTAAAACACCATACCAATTCTTTTGTTGCCCATTCTGTATCCGAGATTGAGAGATGTTACTTTGTTTATAATTTTGCCCATGAGTAGGTTAAACAAGTAGTGGCTTAAACTGTCGCCTTGTCTAATTCCTCCCGGTGTTGAAATCTTTTCAATGAATTGATCTCCTGCTTTACCTTTGGTTACATTGTTGTTATTTAGGTTATGGACTATCTTTGTTATGTTAGTCGGTGTTTTATTTTTTATTAATATATTTAAAATGTCTTCCAGGCAAACCCTGTCAAACGTCTTCGTCAGATCAATGAAGCAAATATACGCTAGCATGCCGAACTCTATAGCTTTTTCTTTTATTTGTTTTATTATGAATACTGCATCTGTTATAGACCGCCCTCTTGTAAAACCTTATTGTTCTTCAGCATTAGTGATTTGCTTTTCCAATTTGTCCTTAAGAATACTCATTAAAAGTTTCATCCTTGTATTTAAGAGGTTTATTCCCCTGTAGTTTTATGGGCAAGTTCTTTGTTTTTTGTTTAAATACGGGGATTGTAATGCTCTTATTCCTTCTCTCCTTCCTTCCTTCTTATTCCATTCTCCTGGTATTTCTGTGTCGTTTAGGATTTTGTTAAATAGTTGTGACAGTTTGCTTGTAACTTCAGGGCCTCCATATTTTAACGGTTCATTGGATATACCATCTGTTCCAGGTGATTTTCTGTTTTTAAGCTTCTTGATCTTTGCTTCTACCTCTTCGTCATTTATTGTAGCAGTTATATCTGCTTCGTATTCGTTTATATTCAGCATTTCTTCAATATCATATAGCTCCTTAGAAATGCTGTTGCCATGTCTCTATAGGTACTCACTTAGTCTGCATGAACTCGTTAACTGCTTTTTTCCTGTTCCGAAGCATTTTCCATACTTTCTTTTGGGGACCATGTAGGTCGTAGTCCGTGTCGCTGGTGAATTTAGCCCAATGTTCTCTTTTGATTGATTTTATTCTTGCGTTTACTTTGTTTCTTACTTGGACATACTCTGCCAGACCTTCTTCCGATTATGAGTTTTATATCTCAGGTAGCATTTGAGTTTTAATTCAGAGAGTTCTTTTACCACTTGACAAAACCGGTAAACCAAATTTTAACGGTTGCAAAAAACCAAAAAGATGCAAAATTGTAATTAATGACGAAATAATCAAACAAGTCTCGAGATTCGAGAGTCCAAAAGATATATACAAAACATCTGACATATAAAAAGCAGATAAGATAGATGACAGGAGAAATACTACTACAGATGGAGAACACTAAAAAATGAAATATATGTTTATTGCAAAAAGTAGAAAACAAACAGAAAAATATCAGCAGGAGGTAATTTGATTAATGAAACAAATGTTCATACTTCAGAATAGACAAATTTAATACAAATTGACAGACCATAATTTACACAAATGATGTAACTTCTAACGTGTCGAAATCTTGATTTAGAAATAAGAGTACCTACTATTCGATTTATATATTTTTAGTATTATTCTATGGAATTAAGACATGGATAATAAAAATATATTTAACGATTTAGCAATATCATTATCGACAGAAAATACGTGTCAGTCAGCTGTGATCTTTAATTGTAACTGTAAAGTCTATTTAACCTCCACATTATACTGTCACTTTCAGTTTGTTTGGATCAATTCATTATAAAAATATCACATAATAGTGATAATACAGTGTTCTAAGGTCCCATGATTTTCATTATTATATCTTAGCGTTAGATAATATTTTTATTTTCGTAGTAAAAAATACGTCATACCATAAATTTGCACATTGATAAAAACCTATTTTTAACCATTTATAATATCTAAATATATCCTTTCCCTAACAATGTGATATCTACAACGTCTATTTACTAACAGAATTTTATAATTTTCAAAAAGCTTAATTTTAAAATAATCTCAAAATCGTACACTTTCCATCCATATTTGGTAGCGAATTGAAAATATTATAATTTTTTATATATGACAATGATTATTTTTCTTAATTTTAATATTATCTGTGGTCTTTAGTTGCTTTATATTGACTAAATTATTACTAGCATACCTCTCTTTCTATTTTTCTGTGTCGCTGTGAAAGTTGTACAATGGACTCTGAAACAGAAAAAAGAATGGATGTCTCTGAAATGTATATATAAAAACGAATGCTGAAAATTTCATGGATACAAAAAGTTACCAATGATGAAGTACCTACTTTGGGACATGAGTAAACAAAAAGAATTACTCAGCATAATCAAATACAGAAAAATACAATACTTGGGTCATGTGTTGGCATTGCATAGCTTTGTGCCCTCCAAAATGAATTGGCAGCACCCTGGTCTACCTGGCCTTTCGGCATACGACCGTTAGCGCTCCAACTTCCCCCACGAGTCCGACACCAATTGGAGGTGGCACGATGCCGAAACATCGTGGGGCTCCACCTCCCCCGTAGTACCTGTGTTGCGGGTCACGCCACCCTTCCGTGAATCCTCGTCCCGGAGGCGGAAAGGCACGCAGGTGGTGGAATACCACCTCGCACGTAGACAGGTCGCCGCCGAGGAATCGCTCCTCTACCACTCGTTGATCATTCCGAGGTGTGGTACATGCCGAGTCTCCCGCTCCCTCTTCCGCGGTGTCAGCTTCAGGAAAAGCCTCCGTACCTGGCTCGTTCAACCACACCCGGCTCTTGTGGAAAATGAGAGTAGAGTGGTCCCACGAGGTGCTCGTCTCGGATACTAGGAATGTAGACCGGTGACTGAGATGACTAAGCATCTCTGTGCGTTTCTACCAACCCGACACCTCAAACGACGGCCCTCCACCTCTCATATCCGCCCATTAGTCGCCTCTTACGACAGGCAGGGTCTTCTGGCCCCGGCCGTATTCTTATCTCCTTGAGCCGGAAGGAGTCATGTGTTGGCAGGTGAAAGATATGAATTAATCCAAATCATACTGAACGGTAAAGTGCAGGGTAAAATATCAGTTGGAAAACGCCAGAACTTAGACGCAGCCGTTTTCTAGAAGAAGATACCTTACTAGTTATTCTAGAATGCTTTGTTAAACACATAAATTTATTTAAAAAGTCGAATCCTATTTCGCATGAAAAAATAAATATAAACTTAAAGTGGGATAGATCCCGCGAGTTGGCGGTATACTATAGTGGTTAAAAGACTTTTATCGAAGTGAAAACTTCTGTTGTAATTGGCCTATATTTAATTATCAAATAAAATCAAAAAACCAAATGGATTTTAATAGTTGATTTTTTGTTCAAAACGAACTTTTTCGGAATGATCAGCTAATATTCAATGAACTTTAAAGTACCTGCGCTAATAACCGCAACACTAAGCAGAAAAGGAGTTTAAATTGTATACTGCAAACCTTGTTTTCTCTTTTTTTTTTTTGGAGGTGAGAATCTTCAAAAGACCTCTGGGAAGGTGTCCTAGGTGTGTTGGATTCGGACGACTATGCCTTACCGTAGTTGACCGCTTACCAACTAAACTCACCCCCTCTTTCTCCAACCGACGGGCCTGGGACCGCTCTTAGCGAGCATTACCATCTGACACGTCAGATTTACTCCTAACTCCCATCTGTCGCTCTGTGTCTGCGCTCCTCCGACTTGGCTTGTAAGGTAACCATCCTTGTGCAGAGCGATAGGCAGGAAGGAGCGTCTGCACCGTTATTTCAACTATCTTTAACGAGAAGGATAAAAAACAGGTACAAGCAACTCCAGACATTCTCTTCTCGATCTACACCAGCCCATTACTTAGTAATAGTCTGCTCCAAAAGGAGATACACACCGTACACTAGATACAAGTAGAGAAAAAACAAAACAACACCTAAATTGATTTCTGTAATGTAGTCAAGTTGCCTTATTCATTAGTTCATGTGGCTCGCATAGAGTGACCCCAAGCCCAGCTGTAGCAAGATTCGCCCCACATTGTATGCAGGGCATACGAATACCACATGATGCGCGTCATCCACCACTCCACCCTCGGGACACAGATCGTTCTCGGTCTTCTTTATTCTATATGTATAAAACCGGAAAGATCCATGTCCCCTCATAAATTGGGTGAAGTAGTAGTTGACACGTCTGTGTTAAGACTCATACCATCTTACTACATCTGGGCTAAGGCCTCTCGTCTAGGCAGCCTTGTCTGTTTTCCTTGACCACTGGTCCTGCCAGATCTCCAAACTATTTTTTCTTTCTTGTGTTTCTGAACCTAAAGCTCCATTGCCCCTTTGGTACATCCAAACCGTTACATTAGCCAGGATATGCAACGATACAGTAGCGACCACTACTTGTAAGGCAATGGTTAATACGGTCCTGTACGCGCTGCATACCCTAATCAATGGTTTCCTCTACGTCCTAAGAAGCTTATCTGTATATTTTGCTTTGTTGAGCATCTCATGCCACACTGGGGCCCCATATAGTAAGATGGATATGATTACTGTCGGATAACTTATCTTTTGTGTGACTCGGGGCCTCCTATATTCGGCATTATCTTATTAAGGGTCGAGGTCTTGTCTTCCACCTTCCGACTTGCTTCTTGTATGTAGTGTCTGGATGCCATTTTGTCATCTAGTATGATTCCCAAGTATTTTACGATCTTCTGGGGTCTTAGGTCGGAGCCTCTGAACCGAAAATTTACGTTTTTTCTATTCCGTGATCCTCTTAAGATGATTACTTCTATCTTTTCTACTACAATCTTCAGGTCATTTCTCTCTATCCATCTCGCAGTTTTTTCTATTGCTTCATTGACTTTGTTTATAATACCCCAATTCATATGTTATATAAGTAGGGCCAGGTCTTCTGCGTATGCAACAGCCCTTACTCCTTGTGTTTTGTTTACTTCTAGTACCCCGTTGTATAAAATATTCCATAGTGTGGGTCCCAGGACTGATCCTTGGGGTACTCCAGCAGTCATTTTCATCTTATTTTTTTTTTCGATATGCATACGCTTATTTGCGATAGGTAGTCCCTTATTATATTAGACACATATTCTGAGGTCCCAAGTTCGACAATCTTGTCTACGATCGGACCCCAGTTCGCTGAATTGAAGACAGTCCATCGGGACCGAGAGCTTTCCCCGTCTTGATTTCTTGACCAGCGGTCTGTATACTGCAAACCTAAAAGTATTAAACTGATGAAACTAATGAAAAGGCTCAATACCGCCTTAATACAGGAGTCGTTTATATATTAGGCCCAAAGAAAATATCTATTGGTTGTTCAAGGGGAGGTTGTATAGAACTAGTTTGGCGAAGTCCTAAAGACCTATTTAGTTAATGGACGATTTACAAGATACCAATTGGATGCAGTACGACCATTATAAAAAAACTTTCGTAAATTGCCGTAGGTAATTAAAAAAACATTAACGTATTTTACATCAAATTTAACAATGCACTAGGAAGCACATCGCTTTAAAAAAGTATTAATAAATTAACTGTAATAATGAAAGCAATAAATGCTGCCTTCCTGTCGTTCGCAAGAGAATTGATGAAAAAATAATATGAACAAAAAAAGTATTTGGCTAATTAAGCAGATCATAACATGGAATTAATTTATCTAAATTCAGGATTTCAAAGATATTAGGTGTGATTAATAAGATTAAAACTTTCGAAAAGAGAATAGTGCTTCATGTTGCTTCATTGTGGAAGAAGAACTGCTGTCTTCTAAAACAAATAATAAAGTATTAATTTAAGCAATACATAGAAAATCAGTCAGATACGTTTGGCTTAACATTCTGGCTCTTGCATAAAATTAAACTATATTTTGAATGCTTTTCATTAAACATAAATGAAACAGGTCAAGCGAGTATGCATCAGCGAAGCAGCAAGGAAAAGGTTTAATAAGTACCCTATTGAAGCAAGGTCTTGATTCAAAACATGCTCGATAAAGCTTAACTGAAAGCCAAAAATCTGATGGATGCATGATATACATAAAAGATTTTTTAGGTCACAGTGTGTAACGGTTTACGAGCCTAAATTATATCTTTCTCTACAATCTACAATCTATGAGACATGCAACAATATTTATTTTGCGTTTAGTTAGCACACTATTGTTGTAAATTTTATGCTAAAAATTATAACAAGACGACAAGTCCTAATATTTGCTATTAATTTATTAAAAATTTCAAGGTGTTACAAACTGTTTTCCATTAGATTTTGCCTGATTTTCCCTCTATTCCTATGTTTAATTCCCTGTTTAATATTTAATTCATAAAAAATTTATATGTTTTAATAACATTACGTTTTAGGAGTTGCGGAGACAAAATTATATACAGAATGATTGAATATTCTCCATTACTAGATTCTAGCAATATGACCTCCAAAGACTGGATTAGAATAGCGAAAGATATTGAGGTTTGTATATGCCTATTATATTATTACGCAGTTGAGTAAATTAAGATTTTATAATAAAGATAAATACAATTTTAACTATATAGTTGTACATTAATTTCTAACTATTTTATAAAAGTTCAGTACATTATTCATCATTTAAGTCTATAAGTCAGGGCTTCCCAAACTTATTGTTACTGTGACGCCCTTGAGACTTTGCTATTTTTTTGCGACGCCCCTCAACCCAACCCCCAATAATACTTATTTACCAATTTTAGTACTAGCCTAGTAACAGGTTTTAGATATAACATAAACACCTTGAACATTTATAATTTTTATTAGAAATTAAGAACGAAATTAAAACACAGGCACAAGAATATAAACGGATATTTATTTATGTAACTGGCTGGTTAACATGAGGGATGTGCTTGCTTTTCTGAGCACAGCTTATGAAATCGGGGCTCCAGTTTGAAAATTGCCACTGCCATTTGTTTTTCTAAGTTTATGTTTGACCTGTACTTGTTTTTAATTACTGCAACTGCAGAAAAGCTCGTTTCGTACAAGCACGAAGTCGCAAATGGTAATAAAACCTTTAATGCAGCAGTGCTGATGGCATGATATTCATGAGAAACTGAGCTCCAAAATTCAAATAGTTTGTCCTTGTTGTATTGAAGCTTTAGGCAGGAATCACAGGACAATTCTATTAGTTGTTCTTCTTCCTCTGTTGAAAGTGCCAATGGTGTGGATGAGTGCAAAGGGTCTTTGATCCAGTTATATTGCTCCAGATCTTCGGGAAAATATTTCTCAAGGTGTTCGTCCAATGATAGCATGTGTTGTCTAAACATATTTTTAAAGAGAGATCGAGGATTTCTATCGATTTTTCTTGTAGAATACCTTGTAAAGCAGGGAAACAGTCAATTTCTTGATCTTCTAATTTTCTCTTCCATAAGAGCAACTTCTTCTGAAACCCAGTAATTTTATCTGCCAATTGCAGGATATGAGTACGTTGCCTTTGGACAGATAACGAGAGTTGCAATAATAAATTAAAGAGGTGTGCTCGGGCCCCATTTCTTTACAAAGCTTATGAAAAAGTCTTGATTTCACGGGTCGTGTTTTAATGTAGTTCACCACTTATCACATATCAATCACAACACCTAACTCAGGTGAAATGTTCTTTGCTGCTAAGGCCTCTCTATGTATGACACAATGTGTCCATTTATACTTGGAGCCTTGTTTTTGATGAGAGCTTGTAGTCCTCCATACTGTCCAAACATCGCTCGGGCATCATCCGTACACACGCCTACACAGTTATCCCAGTTAATATTGTTTTCAACCATATATGAGTTTAAAATATCGAATAAATCAGTAGCTTCTCAACTTTGTCTTATTTTTCTGCAAAATAACAATTCCTCACATATATTTCTTTCTTGCATGTACCTTACACAGCATATTAATTAAGCATCATCATTGCTATCAGTCCCCTCGTCCAGTTGAATGGCAAATAAACCTGAAAGTTCCCCACAATTTGCTCATTAAGATCTTCTGCCATGTCGTGAATACGGTGACTAACCGTATTGTTTGAAAGAGGTACATTTTTTATTTCTTTAGGTGCCGATTCTCCAATCGTCACTGTTACCATATCAACCGCTGCAGGTAAGATCAGGTGCTCAGCGATGGTATGTGGTTTTTTACATTTGGCAACACGGTAAGGTACCATGTAAGAGGTGAGCAATGCTTTGGCAGGAATTGATGCTCTTGAAACCAAAACCGTGGCCTGATGTTTCAGCTCTCGCAATTTTCTTACAAAAAAGTCTCTTGGCTTACCTTGAAAATGACTGTTAGTTGATTCCAAATACCGTTTCAGTTTATTAGGAAGCATACTTTCAGCCGCCAACACATTGTGACAAACAACACATTGTGAAAGTTCTACCAAAGAATATAGATAAGCGTCTATATTCTTTGGTTCTACGTTCCCTTTAGTAATACAGGTAAATCCGAAATCCAAATATTGGTCATTATATTTCCTATATTTCTTCTTTTTACTTAAATTAACATTACTGTTCTAGCCTGATTCTTCACTTCGTTTTCTATTCTTTTGAATATAATAAAACAAAACAAAATTTTGACTAAATAAATGAAATAACACGCGTGACAGTACGAAACAGGTGGAGGAGAGCCGGCCGGCAGCAGCGGCCGCTGTCAGAAACAGAATGCGCCTGGCATTCACTCGACTCCAGTGTTGCCAATAGATAGATAGATAGATAGATAGTTTATTTGACTGTAAGTTATGTCCGGATAATTATCCGATTATCGGATAATTTTCGAATTGAACAATTTTTTGAATAATTTCGAATAATTCAAGGTTCTATCGGCTTGATGTTATATTTTTTATTTGATTTATTTATTAATACATATATTTTATACTCTTTTAAAATCAAATAAATATATATTCTGTATTAAAAGTCTGCGCTAATACGCGACGCCCCTGAGACATCGAAGCGACGCCCCAGGGCGTCGCGACGCACAGTTTGGGAAGCCCTGCTATAAGTGTTGCTTAAATTGGAACATTTTTTCGCTTTGTATGTCTTCAAAGCTTATTTTGACGGATATTGTCAATTTTAGGACCCTAAAAAAGATTAAAAAAGTTTGCCACTTGAGCTTCTCCTTAACCCCCCTCTAAGGGGGTGGAGGAACGGAACAATCGATTTAACAAGAATGGGTACACTGTAGAAAAATAATAAATATAGCTGAGATATAAACAAAAATATTTATTAGCACTTTTTGTGTAAAGTGAACTGTTCTCTCAGAAATAACGCTTGAACGGACCTGGTTTTGAATGGCAGTTACGCGCGCGAACTTAATTTTAAATAAAATTTGTATCAATTTGACGGTCAAAATTCGATATATTTTGATCAGACTGTCATAACGACAAAAATAAAATAGCGTTTTAAAGATAATGAGTGCAGCTTTCATATGAAGTTTTTGTATTTTGTCACAAATAAAGTCATTTTTTATAAAGGTAATACATAAACGTTTCTCGATTTTTGCTATTTTTTACGATTTTTATTAGATTTAATATCAATAAAATTTATTACTTCCTATTTCCATTATTTGAGTCTAATCTTCAAAACCTATACCATAAAATTTCGGTTTTGAGTTTTGGCAACAGATGTAAGGCATTTGAATTATGCTTATAAATGCTAAATTTAAACTTTTGCATTAAAAACGATCTAAAATATTTAAAACTGCTTCTTTGCGATTATACAAGTACGTTTTCTAAAACTACACAACTTTAGTTACAAATTCCATTACAAATTCCACCCATTACCTTTTTCGTGAAGGCATTTCCTTTGACGTGCGATTGTTTGTAATGTGAAAGTTTAAAATCTACGTTCTTAGGCATATTTTAAATTTCTTATATGTTGTTAAAACTCAAAATCAAAATTTTATGTTATGGGTTTTAAAGACTAGGATCCAACCACCATAGCCGGTCATTAAACTTTTTTGTAACCTTAGTAATTTTTTCTTCTTATTATCTTGCTGTATATTTCATAGCTAACATTTATCAGCGATATTTCTATAAAATTACTGCACTCCAATTACTGTCTTTTCCATTACTCTTGCAATACGCTAGTGTTCCACATTTTTCTTATTACAATCGATATTTCTCTCAGTATTGTTTAAATTACATATTTTATCATTTCTGTTATATTCACGCCTACTACAGGACCATTTCCCAGGAATAACTTGGATTATTGATGAGCCTGATGATGATAAAACCTAGACTAACCTAAACGTCCCAGGAAAAAAGACTGGAAATTCTTTACTATGAACATCAAACCTAAGAATTTAAAGAGGTCCATAAACCACTTTGCTCCATTTAAATCTCCAGCATTTCCTGCTTTAGTAGGGCAGGAACATTTCTTGTGTACAAACTACAAAATCTAGACCACATATTGAGACACGATAAGTACCATCTACTGCAATTGATTATCCAGGGGAAAATAGATAGTAAGCGAAGGCCAGGCAGGAGAAGACACTCGTGGCTCCAAAATCTGTGAAAAAGTTCGGCCTCATATCGGTCGAACTATTCAGAAGCGCCGTAAATAAGATAAGAATTGCTATGTTAATAGCCAACGTTCGCAACGGACAGGGCACTTGAAGAAGAAGAAGAAACTACAAAAAGGATTGTACATCTTATTGACCATCTTAACAACAATCTTTAGTCCTAGCATAGCGATAGGTTATATATAAAGACTTGGACAACTGTAAGATTAATGCACATATATAGAATAGGGCGACAAGATAGCGACCTACCTTTATCTTTAAGGCCGATCAGTCATTTTGGTTCAAGGCAATGGAAAAAATTCTTGATATACATTAAAAAAGAGCCATTGACGAATTATCTTCTTAATGGCAACCAGAATGCATATCAAGAAGGAAAATTAACAGAAACACCACTGGAGAAAGTAGTTCACAAAATTATTCACTTAATTAATTAATAATGGAGATATTGCTTTAACCGCCTTTCTAGATATAGAATGCACATTAAATAATACACTACCAAATTCTCTTTGTAACGGGATATCTGCTACCATATGCAACTGAATCAAAGCAATGCTGAAATATAGACTGATTCTAACAGACCTACAAGGAGAGGAGATTTTAGTCAAAACGGCTAAGAGGTCCCACAGGGCAAGATATTTCTCACTTCGTGTCGTCACTTCTAGTGGACGACTCGATCTCACTCCTTGACGCATATCGGGTAGAAGTGACGCATATGCGGATGATCCAGTAACTATGGTACGTGGAAAAGATGGAAATCCACTCATAAAATAACCTTACTAAGTGATGCGATAAGAAACAGTCCTCTTTTAATCATAGTAAAACAGAAGTAATCAGTTTCACAAGGAGACAGAACTTACATAACGTCTGGATGCCCTCTCTCTATGTAGAAACTGTCAAAAAGGGTCCAATATTTAAAAGCAATACTAGATAAGCGGCTTACATAGTATGCCCACTTGAAAAGAATAACCAGCAAAACAAAGTAAAATGTGAGAAAAAGATGTACTGGCTATATGTAACTGTAATTAGACATGATTACAACATTAATATGATGCTCTTAATTCCAATAAATGACCACCAGAGAAAAGCTAAACAAGCTTCAACGACAAGCATACTAAATCATAACAGGAGCTATGTAGACTACCCCAAAAACCTCTATAGAGAAAATATCTAACCTCCCTACATTACATATATGGATGGAGAAGAAGGTGAAGGTAGGAACATACAGAAGGTGGATAACATGCCAGGAAGAGGAAAAGAATACGGGGATCAAATCTAAAAGAATTAATCCAAAATCACCCAGAGTTGGAAATGGTACCAAATGCAATTCAACCTAACTATAATTTCGAAAAGCCATGTACCATCCTCTTTCCAGGTATACAGACAGATATAAAACCTATGAAGGAGTTGGAGCTAGGGAAAAAAGAGGTAAACTAAGGCTAAGCCGTAGTAAAAGCTTAGTCAATTTGAAACTGTCTTCAGAATTTTATTTGAATAAGATAAAGTAACAAAGTAAGATTGCTCTGACTGCCTGGTTATACTGGTATTGAAGAGAAAGAAAAAGCGGACCTACTTGCCAGGGAAGTCGCAAAAAAACATTCATAGACCCAGAAACTTTCGTTGACATAGCAAGAAGGATGGCCACTCATATTGAACCTAACCTTACCTAATCTACATTCACGACATTATTATTACGTATCTCCTCATCTCTTGGTACTTGCATCTTCCCTTTCGTTTCAGCATAAAACATTATTCAGCAGTGCTTCGAGCCATATTCCTTTGGTTTAGCTCACCCATCTTTAAAAAGTCATTTTTGGTTAAAAGTCTTCTTTCTCAATTTATTTCTTTATTTTCTTGTTTCCCTTGATTTTGTTGCCTTACTTCTCATGGTAAGTAGTTTTTTTCGCATTTCTTCTGTATTTCCCAGAAATTTCAGTTTTGATTGTTTTTTTTTACCCTTTAATCGCTTAACAGTTTATGATGTCAACCTCAACGTAATACCCCATATTCATTAGGTGACATACAGCGTGAAAGCTACAACTTATGAAATGCTTATATAAGCAAGCAAGCAATTTAAGTAAACCCAGAATGTGAGACATGTTCACCCCTAAGAATTACTACACCTAAATTACTCCTAAAAATGAACACCTTTTTTTAATAAAATTCTCAGTGCCGCGTGCTAGGGCTTCTTATGAAATGCTTATACAGATTGAACCAAATTAAAACGGAACATACAATTTAATACATGTCTGTTTGAACTGCATTTAAAATAGTGGACCAATATAAAACTTGGACAAAAATAAATCCATACCTGGGTATAGACATTGTATAAAATATCGTTAAACTATCTGTCTCACAACAAAGTTGTTTGCGTAAGACGGATTTGTCTAAGGAGGCGATAATAGTTCAGGAATTGAAGCTCGAAAAAAGTTAAAACCTCGCAATTTTTTCGTCCTGCATGTATCCAGTTGAAATTTTAGCAGAAGGTAGGTAATAGCCCAAGGATCAAAATCTATATCGAACCGAAGTGCGCTGAAGGGTTTTAGGGGTGAAAACTACCCCTAATTGTCAAAAATTATAAAATAACATATTAAACCTGAACATGGGTAAGATTTGATTTGAATTAATTAAATAATGATTATTTTATACTTTTGAATAGAGTTTCATCATATTTCAACCCTTAAAAAGCAACCCTTGTTAGAAATTAATGTAAAAAATTACTAATTCTAAAAAAATGATTTCGCCTTGGATCGATTTGGAAAAAAAATTGGATTTAAGCTCAATTCACCCGCTGCTTTATAGTTTATGTCATGTCGACGAACCCTGATTGTTCTTAGGGGTGAAAACTACCCCTAATTGTCAAAAATTATAAAATAACATATTAAACCGGAATATGGGTAAAATTTGGTTTGAATTAATTAAATAATGATAGTTTCGTGCTTTTCAATAAAGTTCCGTCATATTTCAACCCTTAAAAAGCGACCCTCATTAGGGATTATTATAAAAAAATTAGTAATGCGAAGAAAATGATTTCACCTTGGAACGACTTGCATAAAAATTTGGAATTAAGCTCAACTCACCCTCTGCTTTATAGTTTATGTCATGCCGATGAACCCTGATTGTTCTTAGGGGTGAAAACTACCCCTAATTTTCAAAAATTGTAAAATAATATTACAAATCCTAAGATGAGTGAAATTTGGTTTGAATTAGTTAAATAGTGAATTTTTTATACTTTAAAATACAAATTCATACATTTTCAACCTTTAAAAATCAATTGTTATGAGTGCTATAGGTGAAAACAATTTTTTGCCAAAATTTTGCAACTTTTCAACTTTTGAAAATCACCCTTTACAACATTGCAGTTTTTATAAACTAATTTATAAGATATAAATTGAAAAAAGTAGAATTAAATACAAAAAAAAATTATCAACATAAAAAGGCACCATATATTCTTATACATTTACATAAATAGTTGAAAATATTTACATTTATAGGTAAAACAATTATAATATTAATTTTATTCGTCATCAATTACATCTTCATCGTGATCTATGTCATCATCATCTTCCTCAATTATTGGTGGACTGTTATTGCACCCTTCACCTGAGCACCCAGAACAAGTAGAGTTACAGTATAAACCAACTTTTCTGCACCCATATGAAACGCCGCATCCTTTTTTGCATTGGCAAAAAATAATTTTCAAAAATTTATCGGGTGCAGGTTGTTTGTTCATGCGTACGGGTAATAACAAACCATCTTTGGAAAACCATCCCCAATCTGTTGCTCTGATATTTTCATTGCCAAGCCATAGACATATGAGCAGATGTTTTATTCTGTTGTATGGGATTTCAAAATAAGAACGCTTAAAATTTCGAATGTATAACGCCCCACTAGCTAATATACCGGTTTTGTAGATTATTATGCTCCGAAATGTACTGTACTATACTAATGGAATTATCCGGAAAAAAATTAACTGGTTTTTTTAACGTATTTCCTTTAATTTTTAACTATAGATGTTTCTTCAAAAACGATTTGTAGAGGTTTTTAATAGCTACAAGGATCTGTGAATTAAATCCTTTTGGAACCCTTGGTTTTTAAATGGGGTGAGTTTAAAGGGCTCGAAAAAGATGGTGCTTGATCGTAAATCGATGCTTTAAACGGCTGTATCTCGCCAAATATTCATTGTACAACAAATCTAAATAAAGGATAATTTTAGTCATTAAAAAAGCTACAATTTGGTAATTTTTATTTTTTTCATATATTCAGTATTTTCGGGCATATTTAAAAAAAGAAGGGTAAAAAATATGAAATTGTAAATCGTTTCTGGCTTTAAGCTGTACTTTTTCTATAACTAAGCATTTTAAATGGGTCAAACTTCTTGGACGTATTAACAATACATCTACAAAGGGAATTGCAGAAGGGTGAAGATCGATTTTAATTATGGGGGTGGTTAGGGTGTTGTTTTCCTCGATTTTTTCGTAAAAAGTGAGGTATTGACCTTATTTTTTTATGATAGGTCTATTTATGCTTTTTAAAAAAGGTTTTGTGAGTTTTCTTCCAAAAATGCATCATTTTCCCGATATTTGACTTTGAATCTTTCAAATTTGGCATTTGAAGAAAACCGCTGAACATTGATATTGTATTTGTAATTGTATTTGTCTTTTTAAAAGCTACAAATTTGTTCTCTACAATTTTTTTGATAAAATGCACCATTTTCGAGTTATTCGCGAAAAATCGATTAAAAACGTGGATTTTTTCGTCTAAAAGTTGTTACTTTCAATCGCGAATAACTTGAAAAATATCATTTTATAAAAAAATGTATAGCACATTTTTTGTTTAGAATCACTTTTCTAATCGAAACCTGTAGTTAAAACGTTAAACGTTAAAAACCACCCCCTAGACTTTGGCGCACTTTGGTTCGATATAGATTTTGATCCTTAGGCTATTACCTACCTTCTGTTAAATTTCAAGTCAATCCACGCCGCACGAAAAAATTGCGAGATGAAATGCTACATTTACTGGACTATAACTGGTTTGACAGCATAATAAAATCGTAGATTTATGTGTAGCTTTCAATTTTTATGAGTTCAGAATCCAGCAGCCCGCTGAAGTATGGGATTTTTTATAATATAATTATTTGACAATCTTTTGTTAGCCAACCAGCTACAGCAGAATTGAGCCGAAATACATTATATTCCTATGTTCCGAATTTATTTCGTTCAATCTGTATATAAAAGCTTGTATTATTGTTAATATTTGAAATTTGATTTTCTTACTTTTGCTATTTTAACAACTTTTTAAATATTCGTAAATTTAAGTTCATTTTAGATTTTGATCCTCTTATATTTTGTAAAAATATAGTCATAATATTTTTGACAGTTATAGTTCATAAAAAAATTAATTTCCTGGGATTTTTGTCAAGAATTGTAAAAAAATATTTTTTTTTATTTTAGTATATTTCTATAAATCTGTTTTTAATTGTTCTTAATTTTTTTCTAATAAGCATACTTGTTGATGAATATTAACATTTAAATACCTATTTAGATAAATAATTAGCTTTTATTAAATCTGTATCTCATTGGACTTCAGTACTCATTTATATTAATTTCATTACTCATATCATTACAATACATTTCATTTCTATTACAATATAGTAATTATATATTTATATGTGGTTGGTCTAAACCACATATAAATATATAATTACCAATATTATTAGTAATTAAATGAAAATAATATTTAAATAGACATTTGTACATATTATGTACCTATATTTTTTTAGTTTTATTATAACAAATATGATGGATTTGTTGTTCTTCATGGTACAGACACACTGGCGTATACTTCTTCAGCATTGTCATTCATGTTAGATGGCTTACAAAAACCAGTTATTATTACAGGATCTCAAGTAAGTTTGATTTAATGAACATTTAATACAAATTTTTGTGATACTTTGTTATGATTATTTAAAATTAAACAAAGGGTCCTTTTTATATACATTATTTATTTACAGCTTTTATTTATTAGCACGATTATTTCTTATATCTTATAGATTCTTATCTTATATATTACATTTTCGTACATTTTTTTCCGATACTTTATATCAATTCTTCTTCTTCAGTCTAGTAGGATGAAATATTTTCATTTCTGTCGCCTGCCTTCTTTTGACGTTGATGTCCAGCTGCCATATCACCATTTTGGTGGCCCAACTGAACATCTTGATTATAATATTTTTGTGTTTTAGTCCACTTTGTAATTTGATCTGGTCCCATCCGTTTTACGTGGTCTCTTCAACAGCGACGCATTGCTCTTACTCATCTGACAAAGTCCTGCACTCTAAATTCTCTTACAGTATCGTCGTTAGTATTCCTATTATATGGATGGCCAACAAAATGCACTTTATGTACGGTTATTTATTTGGATCAAAAGTATTTCTTTGTAAGTATTATCGAAAAATATATCGATATCTTCGTACAAATACCTTGAAGCATGGATCACAGAAGATACTAATCAGACAAAAGAAATAAGATGCCGCATTGAAATTGCTCGGTCAACTTTTAATAGAATAAGATAACTTTTTTGTAATCGCGATATCAATATATCGCTCCGGATAAGAATGCTTCGATGTTATAATTTCTCTACCCTTTTGTATGTAGTTGAAGCTTGGACACTTAAAAAATCCAACATTAAAAACTTAGAAGCATTCGAAATGTGGTGTTACCGACGTATTTTGAAAATATCATGGATGGATCGCAAAGCAAACAAACAAGTTCTCGGACAACTAGGAAAACAATGCGAAGTTTTTAAATTCCATAAAAATCAGGAAATTGGAATACTTGGGGCACATCATGAGAGGTGAAAAGTACGAACTACTAAGGAATATAATGCAGGGTAAAATCAAAGGTAGAAGAAGCGTAGGAAGACGTAAAATCTCGTGGCTACGCAATCTCCGTGAATGGTTTGGATGCAGTTCAATTGAACTATTCAGGCGAGTAACCAATAAAATTATAATTGCCAGAATGAGTGGAACTTGAAGAAGAAGAAGACTACTTGCTCTCAGAAATAGACGGGACAATGTACAACAAGTAATAGATGATTTAGCTACAGTAGTGTTCAGCAGGTAGCCTCAAGAAGAACAGTTCATCAAAGATTACTTTATGTTTGGAAAGCAAGTCCCCTCTAGTTCTTATTAACGGCACTCTCACAGCTCGACGATATATTGTGAAGTACTGCCACCGGTTTTACATTCCTAACTATGAACCTCTTTAACTGCGATCTTGGAACAGAATAATGCAAGACCTTATATTCCCGTAAATCCATGAGGTTCATGCAATAATCTATAAAGACTTTGGAGTGGCCATCAAGATTAGCTAATTTTTTACCCATCAAACATGTGTGGGATATGGTAGGTCGAAACCAAAATCGATTATCACGTCCTCCAACAAACTTGGAGCTAAAGACCTGCATTATGTAATAAGAAGAACTTTACTCAGTAATTTCTGATGATTTGTCTGTTGTTTTAGTAACGTCAGTCAGTATGAGCCTGACGCAGGTCTTATAAATTCGCGTCTTACTTTCTGTAGCAGTAAATTTATTTCTCTATATTATGTTCCGTAAACGCCTCTAGCGGCTTTTTTGATCTGCTTGTCCACTTCATTAATAAATATGTATTTAGATTTTTCTTAACAGTACTATTACCACTAATTAATTTAATACAGAAGGCTTTAAATATTTGATGTGTGTGTTTTAATAAATTATGTTTAATATATAATAACGGATTGATTACGGCTGTCGCCGTTTATCCGCCCCCAATTTCCATCTTTTTCTGTCATATGGAGTTGCCTCTTCTAAGTCTCTTGTCGCCATTGCTTCATCAATATCGTCGCGCCAACTTCTCCGTGGTCGTCCTCTCTTTCTTCTTTTAGAAGGGATCCATTTAAGTACTTTTCTGGGTCATCTGTACTCTGCCATTCTTTTAACATGTCCGAACCAGATTAATTGTTTTCTTTCTATGTCATCATTGATATTTCGCTCCATTTTCATTTCGTTTCTTATTTGCTCGTTTCTAACTCTCTCCAGATTCGATCTACCGCAGCTTCGTCTCAGATAATTCATTTCTGTCGTCATAAGTTTGTTTCTATTAGCTTTGGTGACGTCCCATACTTCTGAACCATAAAGTGTAATACTTTGGACTATACTACCGTAAATGTGTTTTTTGGTTTCTCGTCGAATTGTTTTTTGCAAGAGAAGAGAGTTTAAGACACAGGTCGCTGCTCTGCCCTTGTTTATTCTTTCCCTGATTTCATCTGCGCAATTTCCCTTCTTGTTGAAAATGATCCCCAAATATTTCAGGATTGTACGCCTTTGATTTTGTTGTCTTCCAAGACTAGGGCACATATTTCATCTGTTTCCACTGAGAGATATTCACATTTTGTCATATTCATGTTTAGACCTGCCACCTCATATTCTTTTTGCAGATTTCTTACCATATAGCTAAGATCGTAGCTGTCTTCGGCAATTACTACCTGGTCATCCGCAAAGAAAAGTGTATGTAGCGTGTTTTCTTCCACCGTTATTTCCATGTTTCTACAATTTTTTACTCATTTTACTAAGGATCTGTCCAAATATATTTTAAATAAGGTGGGTGACAGACAGCACCCTTGTCTTAGTCCCTTTAGTGTTTGAAAAGGAGAGGTGATATCTTGTCCCATTTTAATTCTTGCAGAGTTTTGTTGGTAGTATTTTTGAGTGGCGTTAATAAGAATTCGGTTTATTTTTAAGTTTTCCATTTCAACCATAGTTGGGAGATCGGTACACTATCATATCCTTTTTCTAAATTTATTAAAGCTATATGGGTTTCTCTATTTCTCTGCACTCGTTTTTCCATTGCAATTTTTAATGTGAAAGTATTATCCATAGTGGAGCGTCCGGTCCTAAATCCCGCTTGTTCCTTCGGGTTGTTTGTCTTGTTTTAATAAATTACAGAGTTAAAAATATTTTAGTATAAGAAAGATGGTTAAATGTGATATCCAACCAAAACTTCAATCATTGAACAACAACGAAGACAATTATTCAATTCTTGCGGTCACTTATTGGTATTTGTTTAATTTGTTTTTATTACAGTTCTTCTTTATTACTTACACATATCATACCGTTTTCTTTTAATTCTAATGTTTATATTAAATGTAAACAGCTTTTAACATGGTTCCATTCAAGAAGATATTCACTTTCAGATACCCATTTTTGAAAGTCGAAGTGACGCAAAAGACAACTTTTTCGGATCTCTGTTTATTGCTGGATCGTTTCTTATTCCCGAAGTGTGTGTATTCTTTGCCAATAAGCTTTTCAGAGGAAATCGAGTAGCAAAGATTTCTACAGATGATCTGGATGCATTTGCTTCCCCAAATTATCACGCGTTGGTAGACGTAGGTATAGGATTTCGAGGTAAGCCATTAATATATTATAAATAACGTTAATAAATTCCTTATTAAGACTGAAATTTAACCAATAATGTAGTTTCTAGGTATAGTTATACCTAGAAACTATAAAGTGTTATTTTTATTTAACTAGTGATCGAAGTTTTATGACATTTCACAACAAGAGAGAGGTATGAGATGAAATCATAATTAAAGATAATTTTTTCGTTTAAAATTTTTAATTACATAGAATCTCGATTATTATAGCATCTTGGATGTGTTTGATAAAATTAATAAAAGCGTTTGACAGAGTAAATATATAAAACGGTAGAAAATAATATAAAGCTATAGTTCGTTCATGTTAAAAACAAAAAAAATAATTATTCTCAGAAAATAGTTTGATATGTTGAAGAAACAGAAATTAAATATATCATCACTTTACAGAAACAATTAAATCAATAATGAAATAATTCGAACCAAGAATATATAAACGAATAGTTTCTCAGAAAAACAAAATAGAACAAAGAGCACAATTCAATCATAATTACATGGCAATAAAAAGTAAAAACATATTATATACTGTGCTGAATATAATACCTAAATATGGAATTAATAGTTGAACAATATTAAAAAGAATACAGATGCAAATAATTTTCCAACCAAACAAGTCCGTACCGGGAAGAAGAAAAACTACAAAGCAAATATTATGGATGATACATTGTCTTGCCATAAATATTGATACAAGGTATTTAACTAACAAAATTTAAACTACTTAAATGATTTGAAAAATGTTTGCACAATTTATTATTAATATAATGAACTACAATCTACAAAACAATTATTCAAAATGGCCGATATTTGTCTAGATACAGCGCCGTTCGGCGATTGTATCGGGTGATTTTCAAGCTACTGATGAGTTTTTCGCCTTATGCGTAGGTGCAAAGTCAGGCACAGTCAAAAAACAGGCTTGGTTTTTTCCTATTTTGTTTTAGGGCAACGATAAGGCGTTGTCTTGTTTATTCATTAAAAATATTAAGTCCCAAGTCTTGTTTGATAATATATCTTATGGTTTTCGGCGCAAGATCTATTTCCCGAGCAAAAAATTTTTTTCGTGTAGAATTGGGACAGTTTAATTTTTTTTTACCATTTATCCTTTGACTAGTGTTGTGTAAATGTATTATTTCATGCTTGTAACATTCATAGAAGTGCCGGATAGCACCTAAAAGTGCCCCTAAAGATGCTCTGAAAGCGAAAGTACTTTAGAGCAAGATTTAGGGAAAACAGAAATTCCGATGTCAAAATACAATTTTGAGACAGAATTAAATATCATTAAACAAATAGCAGTAAACAATGAACAAACAATTAATAAAATGTTAAATCAAAAACTACACAAGAAATCCCCGAAATTAGTATTTCCACCACCACAGAAAAAACCCAGTCCCTTCTGGTACTGGAAAATATTAACAAAAATAGCCAAAGACATAAAAAATAAAGGAATAATACCAGCTTTCAGAACAAATAACATCCTAGGCAAATATATTAAAAACAACAAGAGCCAAAATAAAAAACACTTAAAAAGTGGTGTGTAAAAACTTAAATGTGGCGACTGCCCAAAAACTTACATCGGTCAAACTGGTAGAAATTTTAATAAACGAATAGCAGAACATAAAAGGGCTTTCAATAATAGAAAAAAAGATTCTACATACGCATTTCACTTCCTAGATCATAATCATTCTTTTAATGACGAATTTAAATTTTTACACATTTAAAATAACGGTCTTAAGCTATCTTTGTTAGAATCTATGGAAATCAACAAATTAAAAAACACAGATATAATTCTAAATGGCCAACTTGAGACAACAGTTATACTCTTTCTCAACCTATTTTATTAGAGACTATAAAGTGTAAACGCATGCCAAAAATAGAACAATTGAGACCATGCCAAGCCAACAGGAACCTTATTTGCAAGAGTGGTAGGTTTCAACAAAGAAAATATGTCAATGTTTTTTGACAACATTGAATATTCGTTTGAAAAACACATTTATCCAGCAAACGAATTTTCAACGTTGATGAAAGTGGCCTTACAGTAGTCCAGAGTAAAGTAGAATCAGTCATTGGTCTCAGAGGAAAAAGTCAGGTAGGCTCTCTTACGTCAGCAGAAAGAGGTGCCTTCAAATAGCCATCAATGGGTTCAGGACAACTGAAATTTTTCCTTTGGACAGAAACAAGTTTTCTACTGCCGAATTCATTGCAAAAGCACAAAAAGAGCAGCCTATTGATCTAGATGATAACGGCTATAAATCTGATGATCCTATCGAAACTTCTTTAACCAACACACTTGATGAGGAAAATAATGAATCTTCTCAACTAGTGACAAACTCTTCTTCACGGGATGTACACGAACAAGCATCCACCTCAACTCAATTCGTTAAAACTACTGCCCTACCTTTACCATCCCCCTCATCAAGTTCCTGTTCAAATCCTTCTACAGTTTACACAAGCCATTTTCAAATTTTGCCTGAACCCAAACTAATAAAAAAAACCATCTGAAAGAGGCCGCAAGCCCTGCAAGTCGGCCATAATCACTTCGTCTCCCTAGAAATCAAAATTAGAGGCAGAAATTGCTAAAAATGTTTAGTCAGGAAAAAAAGATCAGACACATAAAGACTAAAAAGGAAAATGGAAGAAGACTGAAACAAAAGAGAAGAAAATGGAAGAAGCTGAAAATAAACCGAAAGAGTATAAGAAGCCTAACCTAGCTCTCAGGTCAAGAGACAATTAGATTTTCACGTACTCATAGAATCTTCGTCTGAGGAAGAAGATAATTTATCTCTGAAACCAGTCTCTTCAACCGGATTGGTTGTAGGACCAGGACAAACACCGGATGAATCGGATGTGACGTGTATGTTCTGCAACGAACAATGGTCCAAGTCAGTGACGGGTGAACAGTGGATCAAGTGTCTAATGTGTCAATGTTGGGCACATGTTGATTGTACCAGTGCGGAAAGAGATGACTACATATACGAATTCTGCCAGTAGACTAGGTTAAAAATTAAAACAATGATAGGCCTACGCCTTTTATAAAAAAGCTAATTTCTTTTAATATTCTTCTATTTAAGTCACTTACAAGCCAAATTTGTACACAGTTTCTTAATCAATCTATTTTAGAGAAGTGAAATAAATTTATATATTTATTTAGTTGTAAATTTTTTCTGCACCCGTAATAATTTATTAAATTTCTCGGGGGTCCGAAATACGAAGAAAAAGAGGAGTCCAAATTTACAGCATTTTTTTACAGTGCCTATTGTATAAACATTTGCAAAAATTAGCAAAGTCATATAATATATATTTTTTAGAATACATATTAAGTTTTTTTAATTAAGTAAAAGTAAAAGTAAAATTTTGTCTTAGACTTAAACAAGAATACTCCTTCTTTAGCATTATGGAATCAATCCAGAAAGATAAATAGAAAACCTATCTCTAATACAACATTTCTTAACGATACATTAGTCGATGAAATTTTTGATCAAATCGCTGCTTCATCAGACCATCTACCTAAAGGTTACAGCGGTGTTTCAAAGAGGTATTTTATATTCCAACCAACGTTTATTTAAGTATAATAATATAAATATAAGAGGTAGTATTTTTAACTCTAGCAATAGACTTCCACATTTTAGAAACGTCAGGTTTAGTTGGTTAACCCTGGTTGCCTGTCTATTACTTTATATTGTGATTGCAAAAATTTTTGGTTTTCAAATTTTGTAATGTCCATATTTGAAAAATCAACAAAACGAGCTTAGAGTATAATATCTTGGAGAATAGAGATAAATGATCTTTATTTAAAAATTTTCAAATATCGAAATGAATAAAAAGTTTCGAACGTTTCGAATATATCAACCCGGTGTGATGTACTAGTTTTAAGAATCAAATATATACTTTGTTGAACTTTACATCGATTATCTTTTTTTTTCAGTGTATGATCACTATATAAAGAAGATTGATTTATGCAAACAATTCACCGTTTTTACAGAATTAAATCCAAATGTAGCAGTTCTCGAATTCTTTCCAACCATCACTGCTGAAATGGTAATTTAATACTTTTAAACATAATTCTAACAAATAAATTCTTTAAAAACTCTTTATTATTAACAATTTACAATTAAATCCTATGCAACAGATGCCGATTTTTAGGTTGCATCAATATCAATAGATAGATAGATTTACAGAGGTGGCCTTTTGGCCCATTCCACCGCGATCTTTTTAGATCTATTGTGGTCCTCTGGTCCTAGATAACATTCTCTAGCCTGACCCTTTTTAAAAAATCTAATAGCTTCGAGACTGTACCTTTCATGTAGCTATTTGTGGGTGGATGTTCTTTTCCTAATGCAAAAAACCGCACATTTGCCAGATTGTCACACTGTCATAGAATGTGCTATAGAATGACATAGAAGTTTGTACAGGCAAAACAAATTGATTATAAACCTTTCGCTTGAGACACATGGGAATTGAACTTTTTAGAATATGGCTTAATTTACCAAATGCTGCCCAAGTTAGGCCTATTTGCCTCTGTATTTCATGTGTTTGATTGTCTCTATTTATTTTGATTTCGTGCCCCAGATATTTGTGTCTGTTTGTTGTATGGTATTATTGTCAATAGTTATATTTCCAGTCATTACGAGATTTGTTATAAACTTAGTTTTCTCAAAGTTTATCTTTAATCCTGCTCTTTCAGACAGACTTTTAAGCTAATGCATCATAGAAACTGTATCATGTAAGTTATCTGGGATTAATACAACATCATCTGTAAACCTTAGGTGATTTAATCTTTCTCCTTAATTGATGTCCATATCTTGCCATTGAGTGCTCTTAAATATTGACTCCCCGTGAACAATTTTGGTGAAATATTGTCTCTTTGTCTAACTCCTCGCCCTAAGCTGAATTTTTCTGTGTCTTCGTGTAGTCGTATACTTGATGTAGCGTTCTCGTAGATGTTTTTGGTTACTGTCGTGTACCTGTAATCTATTCGGCTTTGATTTAGGGCTTCCAGTATTGTTTCAAACTCTACAGAATCAAAAGCCTTCTCGTAATCGACAAATGCAAGAACCAGTGGTATGTTGTACTCGATGCACTTTTCTATTAAGATCTTTATGGTATGCAAATGGTTATTTGTGCCATATCCTGCCCTGAAGTCTGCCTGTTCTTTGGGCTGATAGAAATCAAGTTTAGGTGTTAGCCTCTTTGTTAGGATTTTCATAAAGAGTTTGTACATATGTGTCAAGAGGCTGATGGGTCTATAATTTTCTAATTTAGTAATATCGCCTTTTTGTGTAACAAAATTTTAATATAATTTCTCCTCCTGCTTTTATTGCCTCGAAAACGAGTCCATCATCCATAGGCGATCGATGGTTCTTCATTTCCTTTAAAGCTGCTCTTACTTCTGACACAGTAATGGGTATAAAAGTATTTCCGATCCCTGATTTATGAGAGTCTTTACTCGTGTCGGGAAATTGTCTTGTGGTCTTTGACTGGTATAGAGGTCTTTATAAAACTCTCTGGTTATTTTCAGAATGTTTTGTTTATCTGTTGTTGCCTTTTCATCTTTATCTCTCAGTTTGTATATTTTTTTTTACTTTGTGTGACTTTTCTTTTCATTATCTTTAAACATTTGTTCTCTTCTACTGTTTGAGTAATTACATTAGTTTTATATCCTCTTACATCTTTTCTAATTTCCGCTGAAATTCTTTTATTTAGTTTTTTATATTCTTCTTTATTCCCCTTTTCGTTCTCGCTTAGGTTTAGTCGTATTTCCATGAGAGCTTTTGTATTTTTGCTAATTTTTTTACTTTTGGTGTCATTTTTCTTTCAAAATTGGAGTTGTGCGTTTCTAACCGAGTCTGTTATTAATTTATTGTGATCGCCGATACTTAGAGGTTTGGGATTATTACTCTGTAAATTTTCGCCTATATTTTTCATGTATGCTTCTGGATGATTTGGCGAATTCCAAACTATGCTTTTGCAACTGTTTATCATCTTTGCTCTTTCTTTGTGTAGATTTACCGTTACTCTAGCTCTTACTGGTCTGTGGTCGCTTCCTACTGATAGTTTATTAAGTACAGTGACATCTTGAATAATTTGCTTTTTGTCTGTTATTATATAATCATATTCGCTCTTAGTTCTTCCGTTTGGACTAGCCCACGTCCATATTCTATTCTGTTTCTTCTTAAAAAAGGTGTTCATTGCATACATTTTGTGTTGCAGTAGAAAGTTGATAAGTATTTCGCCTCTTTCGTTTCTTACTCCTATTCCAAAACCTCTGATTGACACTTCTTGTTCGTCCTTTTTTCTTTCGAGTTTCCGTTAAAATCTCCCATTATCAGATTGTAATGAGCCGGTTCCTGTTTTTTTGCTCTTTCGATTTCCTCATAGAAGACTTTGACAATTTCATCTTCGTAATAGCTGGTGGGGGAGTATACCTGGATTATTTTCAGATTGAATCTCTTTTTTAGTCTTAGATTAATTTATATACATAACTCTTGGGGAAATGCAGTCAATGCTCTGTATATTTTTCTGTAATTTTTTGTGTACTAATAAACCTATTCCTCCAGTTGTCGATTCTGTTTCCCCTTTATAGTGGAATATGTTTCCTGATTTTAGTTTCAGCTGATCTTCACCTCTTCTTTTGACTTCGCTAATTCCTATAATATCCCATTTCACATGTTTGAGTTCTTCCTCCAGTTCTGTCATTTTTTCATCCTTAGATAAGGTTCTTACATTATACGTAATTATGTGCAACGTTCGTCGTTTTTGGTAGCCTCTTACATCCCGGGGATTCTTCACACCCTCTACCAGCTGTCCGTGAGTCCTACCGCTACCTTGGTAGGGAACTAGCGAGTTGCCGGGGACTGAGGGCCGTTTTCTTGAATGTCTGTTCCTACTGAGGGGGTTTTGGCATTTAAACACCACGCTTGCCAGGCGGGTTGGTAAGTTGATTTGGGAAATTGGTAGGATAGTGGGTATTGGGTAGGAATGGAGTTAGGACATGATTTTTCTCCACATGAGTTAAGAGAGAATCAAGGCTCGCGTAGGGCAGGATCGCATCCCTGAAGTAAGTCTATCCTCCACTGGGATTGTGGAAGAGTACCTACTCGCTACCACCATATTAACATAATATATTCTTAATTATAGCAAAGTTTATGAATTTTTGTACGTTGTCATTTGAATCTACGTGTAGGCTCGCTTTACCGATGGTGGGATAAATGACATTTTTTCTTCCAACTTTGGTATTAAAGTCTCTTGCGACTATTTTCACATCATTCTTTAGACACTTATAATACTCCGGTCCTCTTCTTCATACAACATGTATTTTTTTTTCGTTGCTTTTTTCTTCGGTAGACGCGTGAAGGCTTTGCTTTTTTTATATTTCAACTGCTGTCAATAAAGTATTATTTGTAATTTAATATTATCACAATATTTTTGGGTAAATAATAAACAAATAGACAAGACAATACACAAACCTAAAGAACCTTTTTATTTTTAGCTGTCAGCTTTTTTGCAGTTGCCAAAAGTTGAAGGTGTAGTTATACAAAGTTTTGGATCTGGAAATGTACCTTCTAAAATAGAAATTTTAGAAGTACTTAGAAATGCAGTAAACAAAGGTGTGATGATTGTCAACATTACGATTTGTGCTAAAGGAAACGTATCGTATTCTTATGAAACTGGTAAAGTGAGTATGACTTTTTTCTATTTTCTATGTTTCAGTTTTAAATAAAAATACGTTAATATGACCTCTTTAATATTTTTTGTAAGAACTCACCAACGAAGAATACAAATAAAAAAAAACGGAATATGATTGTGTAAAATGGATATAAATCTACAGGGTGTCAACAACAAAAATGGTAATGTTCGAGTTGTAAAGTAAAGTAAAGTAGATACGCTGAAAAATTTACGGGTTAAGAGGAACAAGTTCAGTGTTTCCAAAAAATAATGAAACAGAGCGACATAATGATGTAACAGCACATCATGATGTCACTTTAATGGAAGTTTATGAAAATTTAGAAATTAGTGTTCAAAGACTATCTGTTATGTATCCCACAATTTTAAAATATTCCGCAAGAAATATATATCTTACACAACGAAAATTATATCCTTTCATTTTACAAAGGTACAAGCACTGCTATAAGAAGATTTTCCTGCTTAAAAAATTTTCAAATCGATTTTTCTAGAAAACAGTGTATCCTACAGGCTTAAAGTCAGAGTACCTACCTTTTAGTACTAGAATATCCGAAAATTTAATAATCTAGTGTCACAAATATTTAAAAGTTACAGATAAAAAAGTTATACATTAAAATAACCGTTGACCTACCCAAAACGAACGCTTATGAACGGTACTAGAAATTTGCAATTAATGGAATCGATTCAACTCTGAGGGATTTAATAATGGTACCAGTTTTCATTTTTCTAAATAGAAACGTTCTGAAGTTATTAAAAAAAACTACTTACAAGACGCCATCTTCATCGAGCTTTAGCTCCCTAAGGAAGCATTTTCGGACTAGGTGAATTGGATTAAATCGTCTTCAAATTATCTGAGGAATCTCCAGTTTTTGTTTTTCAGGAGAGTTTCTGAACACCCTGTAGTTTTCATTCAAACAAAACATTTCCTACTCGTAGATATTTTAATTTATTGAGATAAATCGTGGACAAAAACGTCACAACCAAAGAATCATGGACAAAACATGTCACAAACACGTCAAAAACAAAGAGGTTATGAGAAGAGTAAATAAAGAAATGGAAATTTTAAATACAATAAAAACAAGAAAATTAGAATATCTCAGACATAATATACGTGGAGAGAAATGCATCTTGCTCCAACTGATTATGTAGGGAAAGATCCAAGAAAAGAGAAGCATAGGGAGGCGGATGTCATGACTGCGCAACCTGAGAGAGTGGTACGGATGTACATCAAATGAACTTTTCAGAGCAGCCGTCTCAAAAGTCCGAATAGCTATGATGATTGCCGACCTCCGCCGCGGAGATGTGACTTGAAGAAGAAGAAGAGATGCTTTAGTTATTCGGATATAATAAGCGGTTTTTGAAAGGCGGTGAAATGAACTTTACATAGTAATAAGGCAATTACTCAACACATATATTATATATAAAGATTTCATTACTTTGAGGTGTATAGTGTTATATAATAATCCTGAATCGGAACAGTAGACACTTTGGAAATATTGGACAGGCTTGGGTGGGGTTATGTCATCTCGATAAGCAGCTCCGAATGTCTACGATGTCATGATTAATTGGATTATATGCAACCGTTTTATAAGTAAATAAATAGTTATGTTTTGTTACTCTATGCTTTATTAAATACATAACATATAGAAGCTGCAAAAAGGCGTTATGAGCAAATATTACCATGTATAACCTACACCGTTAACATTCTTAAAGAAATACAAAAAATTCAAATAAGAGCTGCCACATTAGTTTTACAACGGTATTTAATAACTAACATTGGATTATAAGGATTGCCAAAGATACATAACCAAATAAAAAAATAGGAAAGGAATGAGGAAGAAAGTTACAAAGGAAGAGGTATTAAGGGTCTTGAAGTTTTCATATGAAAACTTTTATGAACATATAAAAATATAATTTTCTTTACTAAAACTAGAACGTGCAAGAATTTTTAATAATTTTTAAAAATTTCTTAACGTATTAATAAAAATAGTTTATTTTAGGTTTTAGAAGATATCGGTGTAGTTTCCGGAGAAGACCTTACCATTGAAGCAGCATTAGCAAAAATGTGTTATGTCTTAGGCTTACCAGACCTTACGTTTCAAGAAAGAATGCAGGTAACATTACATCAATATAAATATAATCAGATCCCACCAAACAAATAAGCTTTCAATTTTTATTTATTTAGTTATTTTCACATATTTCTTTAACTGCTGTAAGCTTTACAGCAGCAGTAAATTACCAGATAACTGGTTAAAATCATACTTGTAACTATTCCAAAAAAACAACGCTAAAGAACGACTATCGACTTAAAGTCGATCGAATTGATCTATCTATACCATCGAAGTGAAAAAGGTTCCAATACTTCGGTCTTATAATGAAGAAAACTTAATATCGCTTACTTTGGTTGATCATTCAGAGCAAAATAGAAGAGAAACGGTGGATGGGAACAGTTGAAAGGAAACAACGGACTTAACTGCACATTACACAATAGGCAGGTCGAACGGCGAAGACCTACCTATTTCATATGCTACTGACAAAGAAGCATAGTACAGTGAACAATTACTATTACCAATTATGTAAAGTTTAAAGCCGGTATAAGCAATCCCCCACTTACTGACCAACGGCTTCGGGCGGATGAGTTGGTAAGTGGTAGGGCACCCTTTTGTCCTGGGGTTGGGAAACTGACCCTAAAGGCGGACGAACCGAAAAAATAGGTCAACGGCGTAAGGATGTAGAAGGCAAGGGGAAACCACTACATTAAAGATCCTTAATGGATATCCCTAGTTAATCATTATGGCTAGTACAAGATGGTTACAACAAGTTACTGATCATGATTTTCGGTCGTCAAGATCCGGCAGGGGTAGACAACCAAAAGACTGTAGGGCTCCCCCGGTCGTTAATCTACGAAAACCCTACAAAAAGAATAAAGGTGCAAAGATCGCTACCTGGAATATTAAAACAATTTATGAAGCCGGAAAGATACACAACGTCATACAAGAAATGCAACGCATGTCTGTCAAAATATTGGGACTAAGTGAAACCAGATGGCCAGACTCGGGTGAACAACAGATTTTAAATTCCAAAATATACTATTCGGGAAATAATGATCCAAACCATCGAAATGGAGTAGCAATCATTGTTGATAAGAACTTATGTCAATCAGTCACTTCTTTCAGTCCTATCTCAGATAGAGTAGTTATGGTTTCTTTAACAATGATCCAACGAAAGTTAAATATAATCCAAGTATATGCTCCAACTTCCGACAAGACAGACGATGAAATAGAACAATTCTATAAAGATATACAACAAGCCCTGGATAATACAAAGCATAGAGATATCACGATTGTTATGGGCGATTTTAACTCAAAAGTAGGAAAAGGAGAAGTAGAAGATATTGTAGGGAAATATGGACTTGGTTTAAGAAATGAGAGGGGGGAAAGATTGGTGGAGTTCTGTCAAGAGAACAGTCTGGTAGGTACAAACACTTATTTTAAGTTACCTAATCGTCGACTCTACACCTGGAGATCGCCTGCGGATAATGATAGGAAAGTTATTAGAAACCAGATAGACTATGTTTTAATAAGAAAAAGGTTTCGGAACTCCATTAAATCAGCAAAAACATACCCTGGGGCTGATGCAGCCACAGACCACAATCCCGTTGTTGTATCATTCGATCTCCGATTTAAAAAACTAACTGCACGTTGCAATAAGAATCAAATACAACGTTCATTTTTGAAAAATTCATTTGTAAGAGATCAGCTATCCAAAAAAATTAACGAGGAAATAAAGATAAATATAATCGATCCAGACGAAGATTCGAACAGAAAATGGGAAACATTTAAAAACATAATGCTGAATCCAACGAAGGAGATTCTAAAAGGAAAGAAAAATAATAACACAACAAAGTCATGGATTAATGATGAGATACTGCAATTGATGGAAAAGAGAAGATTGTACAAGAACGTAGACATCGAAAAATATAAAGACATATATGGTGTAATTAGAAAGAAAATAAGAGAAGCCAAGGAAAAATGGTACTCAAACAAGTGTGAGGAAATAGAAGTACTATTGGAAAGGCATGATGACTTTAATCTACATAGGAAGGTAAAAGAACTGGCCGGCATCAGAAAAACAAACCACAGTAGTGTTCTATTAGATGAAAAAGGTAAAATTATCCTTGATAACAACAAGAAAATAGAAAGATGGAAACAATACATACAGGAATTATTTAAAGATGAGAGACAACCAGAAAACATAGAACTATACAACAGTAGAGAAACGGGGCCCAGTATAACAAAAGAAGAAGTCATGCATGCAGTAAAATTGGCAAAAGATAATAAAGCTACAGGTCCTGATGAGATACCAGCGGAAATTATAAAATTAATCGCAGAAGATCAAATAGATATACTAAAAGACTTGTACAACACCATATATGATACAGGCGTCATTCCAAAAGAATGGCTTAAGTCGACGTTCGTGACTCTACCGAAAAAAGCTAACGCTAGAGAATGCTGTGACCATCGAACCATCAGCTTAATGAGCCACACTCTAAAGATATTCTTGAAAATTATACATCAAAGAATTTTCAGAAAACTGGAGCAAGATATTAGTAACACGCAGTTTGGCTTCAGAAACGCAATGGGTACAAGAGAGGCCTTGTTTGCCCTGAATGTATTGGCCCAAAGATGTATGGATGTTAACCAACCTCTTTATGTCTGTTTCCTTGATTACAATAAGGCATTTGACAAAGTCAGACATAATCGCCTCCTACAGCTACTTCAAGATAAAAATCTGGATATGAAAGATATTAGAATAATATCAAACCTTTACTTTAATCAAGTTGCATCTGTAAAGGTTGGCAACGAACTATCAGAAGAAATAGAAATACAACGAGGGGTAAGGCAGGGATGCATATTGTCTCCGCTGCTTTTTAACCTCTATTCAGAAGAGGTAGTTCAGAAGGCACTAAAGGAAACATCAAGTGGAATTAAAGTCAACGGAGAACTTATAAATAACATCAGATACGCCGATGATACTTTAGTAATCGCAGAGTCAGTTGAAGAATTGCAGGTTCTGATAAATAAGATTGTAGACAGTAGCGAAGAGGCTGGACTTACTTTAAATATCAAAAAGACGAAATTCATGACCATCGCAAAGACACAACAACAGGACACGTTATGGATTAGGGACGAACTCGTTCAAAAGGTGAACAGATATACATACTTGGGAACAATCATAACCGAAAACAACGATTACACACAGGAAATCAAATCACGTATAGGAAAAGCCCGATCAACATTCAATACTATGAGAAAAGTACTTTGCAGCAATGATCTGAGTCTGCAACTTAAAGTACGAATGCTTAGATGTTATGTATTTTCTGTGTTATTATATGGAATGGAGGCTTGGACGCTTAAAAAAGATATAAGTAACAGAATAGAAGCGTTTGAGATGTGGGCTTATAGAAGAATTTTAAAAATAAGTTGGATCGATAAGGTTACGAACAACGACGTTTTAAAAAGAATGAACAAGGAAAAGGAGATATTAAATACAATTAAAATAAGAAAATTGCAGTATCTGGGTCATGTCATGAGAGGTGAGAGATATGAGTTGCTGCAGATCATTATACAGGGAAAGATACTGGGCAGAAGAAGCATAGGCCGACGACGTGTATCCTGGCTAAACAATTTGAGGCAGTGGTACAATTGTAACTCTGTTGAGCTGTTTAGAGCAGCAGTGTCAAAGGTGAAGATAGCCGTGATGATAGCCAACCTTCTTAAAGGAGACGGCACTTAAAGAAGAAAAGAAGAAAGTTTAAAGGGTTTTTACCCATATGTTTGGTGGCTAAAAACCTGTATAACTAGTAAGTATTAAACCACTTTTTCTTTAACCTTGGTCAACGTTTAAATTTAAACGTTTTTATTAACTAAAGTGGTTATATGTTTAGAACCACTTACCTATTAATGCCCAAAATTAAATTTTTATCAAAACTAAATCAAAACTTCAGAATGAAATAAAAAGAGGTTGTTTTTAATAGCAACGTGCAAAATTCACTTTTTTTTTCTTTGTAACTGTTTTTTTAACGTATGATATACGCTGGGCAATGAAGGATACAATATTTCATAAAACATTATTTATTTAAAAAATTTTACGTGTGATATTTAACAAAACATTGTTTGGCATGAATTCCTACATTACATTTAATGCATTGATATTTGGTACACTTGCCACATTTGTCGCACCTTCGTTGTTTTTCAATTTGGTCTACCAAATGACCCACATTATCCAAACTAATTTCGTCAGCAACATGTTTGCAGATTTTGGACGTACTCCACGTTGTGTATGTAGGAGTGTCTCGCGTATTACATAAAATACGGTGGGCATTATTGGGTTAAGATGGACTATTTAGCCTAAAAACGTTCTGTGATTTAGTCCTTAGCTCTTTAAATAAAATACATTTTATAAAGGATTTTTTAATAAAAAATGTGTTAAATCATTTCCGTTTTGGATCTAGCTATGTTTTTAAATCAAATATTTTTTCCTAGGGATATAATAAAATTAGGATGTCGGTAAAAATTATTATAAATACACCAAAAAAATATGCTTTGGTAACCTAATTAAATAACTTACTGTTAGTTTTACTTATTATATTAGTTCCTAAATTTTACTCGCCACAAGAAGAGTTTTGTGCGAATAATTACAATAATTAACACCTAAATAACATATTGCATCATTAATAGTTGAAAAAATCGATAGTAATCTGCTTATTTTTTATTCAAACAGTTAGTGACACCCTTCACAAAAATATAGACAATAATCATACAATAATTTTGTATAGACAATGTCATTATTGCATTTTTTATTATGGAGTGTGTGTTGGATAAGGTCAGCCTTGTCTTTACAAATTTATGACTTAGCAATAGCAATAGTATGTACTACCTCGTATTAATTTTTATCATGTTTTTTACAGGTTATGAGATCGGACCTAAGAGGTGAAATGACTATAACAATGAACACGTAAAAACATTAGCTTATTAACTACTGTTAGTGTAATTATTGTTAAATGTCTAATTTATTTTATATTAAAATTTATTATATTTTTTTTTAGTTTTGAATAAAAATAATAGTAGAAAGTATTACTATTAAATTAAAAATTAAACCTGATCAAAAACCCTTTAGAACAGATCAACAAAATAAAATGAAATAAAGGACATGAGGCAGAAGAAAAATGTACTAAAACTTTTATGAGGCCTAAGGCCTCACGTCCACTGGATCCGGAAAGCTACGAACGTGCGAATTCGGACGAATACCGTTATAACGAAAGCATGCGAACGCCGATCGTCTATTCCCTCAGTCTCAGTGTTTCATCCGAACTCTATGGAGTTATGATGGCTCTGCGGAACCGTCTTTCTGATTTTAATGAAGAATTTTTCTTTTTGTAACAATCTCCTTTGATTTATCGACATGTCAGGCAATATAGATAAAGAAGAGAAGTGTGGGTAAATCCTATATACGCAAAAAGAAACGAGTTTGGGAATTTGCTCATTTGTGGTACACGATGACCACCACTTTTAATATTTTCAAATGAAAAAGGATACATTCCTAACAAAATTCATGTTAAACTCGTAAAATTCTGCAATTTTTGAGAAACGACGTTTCCACGTGAACGTCTGGTTGTAACATTAAGGTAAGTGTACTAACAGACAAAAGTCAAGGTCAGATTTTTTTATTATTACAATATTATATACAATTATTTTATTTTATATAATTATTTATAATATACTAACTGTATAAATATAGCTTTAACTAAAGTTAGATCCCAAAATTATTAATTAACAAGTTAGATATTACATCCAAAGAGAAATCTACAGTCACATTGGTGTGGGATCGAAATCATGAAAAAACCCCGATGTTGACTGTACGAAAGTTTAGGAAGTGAGTTGAGAAGAAATCATATGAAAAATAATTTGGTGTAGTTGAGTCCAGTAGCTAAAGTTTCTCCTTAAAAACATCCATCACCTTTCGGCGCACAATCAATTTTCTCTCTTTTGATATATCATGGAGATATGTTAACAAACTCATAAGAAATTGATCTCCATCTAAAGTTTTTGATGGTTTTTACCCCAAGTAATGCAAGAGGACTTTTGAACAATTTATTGGTACTAGAAGTGATGGGTGCTTGCAGATGACTATCAGATTCCCTCCATAAGATCCTAAAGCTATACTTGCTTGAGAAGTTAAACTTAGACCGCCTTCATCAGCTAACCCGTCAGCCAAATCATCACTTTTGTTTCCTTCATCGCTCAACGTACACGTATCACCTGATTCAAAGATTCATGCTAAGACGAAAAATTCTGTAATTTTCGAGAAACGACTTTTCCACGCAAACGGCTGATTGTAACCTTAAGGGAAGAATAGACAAAAAAAAATGTCAGATTTTTTATTTATACAATATTATATACAATTATGTATAATATACTTACTATCTAAATATAGCTTAAACTAAAGTTAGATGAAAACAAAAACAAACAAAATGTATTTATGTTATTTTTAATAATTAACAAGTTAGGTATTACATCCAAAAAGAAGCCTACAGTCGTATTGCTGTGGAATCAAAATCCTGAAAAAAACTCGATGTTGACTGGATGATGACTGAATTGGATGATGACTGTTTTGGAAGTGAGCTGAGTAGGAATTACCAGGAAAATAATTTGTTGTCCTTCAGTCCTGTAGCTGAAGTTCCTCCATAAAAACGTCAAGTCAAGTTTTCTCCCCTTTTAGGATATCATGGAGTTATATTAATAAATTCATAAGAAAGTTATAGTATTAATCTAAAGTTTGTAATGGCTTTTGCTCCTAGCAATTCATTTTTTTAATTTCAATCAAATTTCAAGGAGTATTTCATCAAAGGGAGAAAGTTCGTTTTTTGAGCATCTTCTCCTCTTAGGTGGACTTTTGAACAATTTCTTGGCGCAGGAGGAATCTCGCGTGATTCGTGACGGCCCCAGTGGACACGCTCCTCTTCGAGTCACGTATTTGGATCTTTTGCCCGTTTTCGACAGACTTTAGACGAATTAATTTCGCAGATTTTCGGATCCAGTGGACGAAAGACCTTAGTCCGATTTATCCTAGTATATTTAGCCCTCTTCCGAGTTTTCCTATTATAACGAACAACAACTTTCATACTTTCTTTCCATCTTCGTGTGTTAAACATAGTGCTTTGATGCTATGTACATAAAACTTAATGTTTGATTATTGCTCCTGTTATAGGAGCCTTTTATATGAGACTTTTAGTCACTGACCAATATACGCCCAATAGGCATCGCTCGACCCCGAAAACCCTACTACTGGTCGGTTAACTTGGCTCCCATATAGACTCATATATACTACGGGAGCCGATCTAGCTCGGGGTCTTTCCCGCTTTCCAATTTACCCAAGACTCTGGGGCTGGTTGCTGTTTCTACAAATTTTGTTTTATTTTTAAAGTAATGTTTAAGAGTCTACGGTACGGCAAGCTACGAAAGATAATCTTTCACAAGACTGTATAAAAAAGCATGATATCAACAAATTTTGCAAAGCATACGAGACACGAATTAGTGAACCAATTCATACCAAAGTGATGACAGTGAAGGTTTTTAGTTTTGTGTATGCGTTTAACTAGTTATCCTATAGTTAATGAGATATTTCCAATATCTTTTATTAACTGCCAGAATATGCGTCGACTCCTACGCCTCTGAAGGTAGAAATATATGAAAAAATATAATTAGACATACCTAAAAAAACAGCAAACATAATAATAACAATAAAAATATAACGCACATTATCTGTGGTTACTGTTTAATTACATATAGACACAAACACTATATACACGTAATTAATTTTTTTATAAATCTTACAAAAATAATCACCTTTCACCTAAAGATAATTGTATTAATATTATTAAATATGTCGTCAAACTGTTTATGAACTGTAGTAACGTGTTACGAGTGATTTCAAAAAAACCAGCAGCTGTAAATTTCGGGAGATTGGTGTAAACTTTATTTTCAAAAGAATTCAAAGCCAACACTTCTTCTGGTAACAACATTGTTTTGTGCAGATTAGAGCAATTTATCAAAATCTTCTGAGCTTCATTTTTGGTGAAGTCACAAGAGAATATAATTACAACGGGCCACACCTAAAAAGAATGTTTGTTATTACAATCAATATTAAGTCAAATCAATGTGTATGTATCAATTTGTTTAGGTTAACAAATGTTAACCTAAACAAATGTTGAAATGATGAAAGAACTGGACGTAGAAGCTGGAAAGATAGGCCTTAATATGAATTACAAAAAGACCAAAACTATAACAAATACAGATGAAGACATCACAATGAGAATTGGACAAGATGAAATAGAATAAGTTAAGGATTATATATATCTTGGTCAAACTATAAAACTTAAGAGCAGAGATTCACAACAGGTAGCGATCAAAGGATGGTCAGAGCAAAAATTAGTATTGACGGTAACTATGAAATGAAAAGAAAAAGAATTAGAATCTGAGATCTAGTAGATAGAAACAAACTAGGGCAATATAAAGAGATATACAAATACCTATTAAAAGAACAACTTACCCAAAAGTTACACAGTGATGATAAAGATATAGACGAAATAGACAACATACTTACAGCAACGACGATTACATCAGGAAAAGAAATAGCAAAAGAGGATCTAAAAAAGAACAACTATATATCAACAGAAACAAAGAAGCTTATGAATAAAAGAAGAAGGCTGAACGAAGAAGGCAAGAGGAAATCTATAGAATAGATTTAGAATTTAGAATAGATGTAGAAATAAAAAAACAATAAGCAGAATAATAAAAGAAAATAAGAGAAAAGAACAAAAAACAAAAATAGAAGAAATAATACAGAACAACAAAAATATGAAATGCTTAAGGTAAGTTTGAAATAAACAACATAAAAGATGTAAACGGAGTGGAAACAAATATTCAAGATGACATCAAAAATATAATCCACCATTTTTACTCAAAATTATATAAAACAAAAAAGGAACCACCACAAGAAATTAAAAACCAACTTAAGGCTAAAATAAAAATGTCAACTCACAGCTACAGCTAGAAATAAGCAAATCAGAGATAACGAAGGCATTAAAAGAAATGAAAAACAACAAATCGCCTGGAAAATATGGAATAACTTCAGAGATGTTGAAAAATGGTGAAAAAGTCTTAATTAATACTCTACATTCCCTTTTTAACAAGGTATTAAAAGAAAAAAGAATCCCAAACAACTGGAAGGAATCTGTAGCCTTTATCCTATACAAGAAAGGGGATAAAGCAGATATAAAAAACTACCGTCCTATAACACTCTCCAAAGTAATGTATAACCGGATACCCGTCGAAAGAACAAGCTGGTTTTAGAAAGGGATTCAGCACAAGTGACCATTTACTAAGTATGAAAATACTTATAGAACGAGCAAATGAATACCTCATTCCTCTATATATAGCGTTCATTGATTTTGAAAAGGATTTCCACAGTGTCGAACATTGGGCAGTGAAAAGTTCTATGATTAACAAGAATTGACCACAGGTATACGGAACTAATAGTCAATATATATATATATACATATATATATATATATATATATATATATATTATATATATATATATATATATAGATATATATATATATATATACATCCTACCATCAACGGAGCGTCCGTACATTGTCTTTTTACCGTCAATAGAGCGTCCGCCTACATCAGGGCGTCCGTATATGGACGCTCTAATTTTTCTTTGCTTAAAGTGCCTAAAATGTCATCCAGAACCACTTTACAAATTTTTACGGGGACGCCTTATGATGGTTTTTTGTAAAAATATATACGATGAATGTATATTATAGTTTGAGACTTTGACGTCGAAAGCGCGCTGGTCAAGCTCTGCGTATACTTTTCAGAGTATATTATCATCAGTTCTATCGCGTTTAGGGCGTCCGAAGTGTTGGCAACGGTGGATTCGATACACATGATCTGTACCTAATAACTTAATAAGTTTAATTTTATTATCTTGTTGTATTCTCAACACCACACAGAGAGAATATGTTTCCTAGGAGAGGTAGTATTGGAAAAGGATATTGGAA